TAAGAAGAAGTATCTTCTCCTCAGTTGTGAACAGAGACAAGCAAGTGTGTGTGTTAGCTCGTTTTGATCACTTTAAATCCTTACATTTAATTCTATTTTCTGTTTTACTCTTTAGCTTATTCATTTCCTCTCAAACATTTCAAGCGCTGAGTTATTTCAAAGGTAAGCGTTTCCAAATTTTGATAAGTTAATCTAGTTGATACTTCCAAAAAACACTCATCCATGGTTTCAATGAAAAGGCGAAAATGTCAACTACAAACCTCCAATCAAACCAGAACTCAAGCATTCACAACCAAATGATGCAGCTGAAGTGGAAAGACCTAACATGAAATGTAAAAAATTATTAGTGTTAAAAGACTACTCAGTATTTTAATTCAATCGAAAACGACCAGGAGTTTGTTTAGAGCTAACATGTGCTTCGTTTCAAAACCAGGTAAACATACTAGTTGTGTTTTGTAATCTACGTATTTTTTAAGCTTCAGTGAGTCCAACGTTATATTTTAAAGTCATGGATGGCATTTATCGCCTTGCCATAACAATATTGTGAGGTGCGCAGATACTTTGAAAGAGAAACTGACTGACTTCTTACAAACTCGTGCCGTGCTGGTTAGCTAAGATGAACATTTTCGACTTTGCTGGGAAAAGGAAACACCTTATTGATTTTGCTTTTCCACTAACTATTTGAACTACCTAACATTTTTTTTATTCCAGTGTAGAACTACTGTAGTACTAGAATGAATGATTTAACTAGAATCGAAGATGTTCTTGCTTCCAATAGTGCAACATGATTCATTATTTTTATACAATCTTATGTCTTCAATTAGAGAGCTTTTCCCTCTGAAATTCATTCAGGTTCATCTGGAGCTGGAGGCAGTTATTTGATTCGCTTTTTCGACAAGCAAATTAACCCGTGTAGTTTGGAGTTATCAGGTTATTTTGTTGATTCTATCTTCAAATATAATCACAAATGAAAACACTACACAAATTAGAATTGAATCATGGGATTTCTAGTTTAATTTTCAAGCCTTAGTACATGATATTGGTAACAAGTCTGTGTGAGCGGTTTTGGGCCTCATTCTAGATCTGTTTATCGCTCGGATTTCTCTCCTTTTTTTGTTGTTGTTGTTTTTGTTGTTGTTTTGTTTTTGTTTTCACCGCCAAAGTCATGGAATAAGCAATGAAAAACTACAGGGCAAGAGCCCATCGTTTTCGAAGAAAAAGGGATCAAAGCTTGGCCGGGTTAACGTTTCGAGACAGACGTTAATTTGTTTGTTTCCTTGGGGTTTCTTTCTGGTTATGGTTTTCTTACCAGAAAGTCTCTTTTTCAGTTAGCAAAGCGACTCATGCGACAAATTTTTCTATTTTGTTGTATTTGAAGTCTTCAGATTTGGTTTCTTCACACAGAGTAACAGCGAAGTAATTCTGATCTACAAAAGTACACTCGCTGTATGTGAAAATAAAACGTGGCATTGAAACAGGGGAGAAATGGAAGACTTTACCCTATTGGACAAATCGACCAGTCAACAAACTGTTTCAGCCAATAACTATTTACGCTAGAATGAACATTAAAATTAGAAATTTGTTTATGTCCCACAAACTTGTTCTGACCAGAAGATTATTAACAAACAACATATTGCTCATAAAATTATTGTTCAACGCAATTCACTAGGAATAGTTATCTTCACCTCAGTTGTGATCAGAGATTAGTAAGAGTGCGTTTTCTCGTTTTGATCAGTTTTCAGTTTTATTGTTTACCTTACTCAGAAACGTGCGAAATCGAAAGGACAGTCAAAGGACAAAAGGAAGGAACGCCTGTTTAGTTACAAAAGCAGCATCGGTACAGGAATTGAAATAGAAATTGAACTTGACTAACCACAATTGAAGAGTTCAATTTTGTTTTGGTGCTTGTTATTTGACAATGCTTTATACTTTTGTCTCCGGGGGCAGAATTAAGGTAACGATGACGAACTTTTCGCTGACCATCATCTTAGTTTTACTGATTTTACCGCCGATCACCTTGAGCACTACAGACAACACCAGCACCAGCAAACCAAGTGGCAATAAAGTGAGTAAAATACAGTTCCCTTTCCTTTGGCAAACATAAATAAACACTATTTTTTCAAAAATTAGATACGGTAAATAGTTTACAAGATTCCTTTTTATTTTTCACGCTCTCTTTTACTAATTCTTACATAAACCCATTTTACATGCTATACAACGTCTTGCCTGTTTCCTGTTATGCCGAGCAACTTAGTTACCTAGTGCCTTTGAAACAAACGAAATCAAATTGAGAACAATAAGAATGACGGATACAAAGCAAACAATTATCGAGGGAAATTAACCACATCATACTTAGATATTCTCATGACTGTTTCTTTTACAGCCTCTTTCACTGTGTTATGGACAACCAAGGACAAATGGCATCCCCGGTATGCATGGCATACCGGGTTCTCCTGGGGCACCTGGCCGTGATGCACGGGACGGAGCCAAAGGAGACCAGGGCAGCCTGGGAAAGACTGGGCCCCAGGGACCATCTGGTGTAGAAGGAAAGAAAGGAGATAAGGGAGAGTCTGGATCCCAAGGCGCCGCCGGCCAAAAGGGACAGCGAGGGGAGAAAGGTGAGAGTGGAACCCCAGGATCGCCTCAGCTTTCCTCGCACATTAACTGGAAAGAATGCACCTGGAAAAGTGTTGACCAGAAAGACTTAGGTGTGATCCAGGTAAGTGATTTACAGCAAGAGTGTATAATGTATTCAACCAAGTTTTTTCGTTTGTCATTACTGTAAGTATGGGAAAAAATGTAATTGTTGAACAGGTCGTAAGCTGTGCGTAGGCTTTTGTCGATTGTGCTAGCATAATTTTTGGCACAATTTAGCAAATCGAGCAGGATTTTTAGCCTTTGTCTCAATTTAGCACTGCTAGCATAATCTGGTTTTTCTGCCTTCACTAAATGAGGTAATTTCGTTTTGAATATACTTCTGTTCACTTGTTCCGTTTTTTAAATTTCTTTTACTGTGGTCTTCGGGTCGCCTTGTTCTTGGTCTTAGGCCTCGTGCATACGGCTCTGTAGTGAGCTGTCTGAGCATA